GAAAGGTCCCATTGGATTGGTAAACTACAGATATTAGCTTTGTTCGAGAAAGAAGAGAGACAGAAAACTACATTGTCTGTCATTGAGAAAATGCTAGAGTCTGTTGCTAAAGTGGTGGCAGTAGGACATTTTAGAAGTTCGTAATTGGGCAGAGTCAGCACTGGTCAGGTCAGGCCAGACAGTGTCAGGTTTACGAAAGGGAAATTGACAAATTTATTACAGTTCTTTGAGGGTGTTGCAGGCTGGATGAAGGGAACCAGTACGTGCATGCATTTGAATTTCCAAAAGGCATTTGATAAGGTGCCATTAAAGATTGTTAGACAAGATAAGAGCTTGTGGTGTTGGTTGAGATATTGGTATTGATATAGGATCAATTGGTTAACAGAAGCCAGAGAGAGGGAAAAATGGATTATTTTCGACATGGCAAACTGAAATTAGTGGAGTGCAACATGTATCAGTGCTGATCTTAATTAATAACTTGGATGAAGACCCTGACTGAATAGTGGTGATATGGAGTATAATGTGGGGAAATCTGAGATGTTCCTGCCAACGTGGACAAATAAGAAAGTAGAATATTATTTTAATGGGAACAGAGTGCAGAGCGCTATGGTACCGTCAGACCTGGGTGCCCTTGTATATGAAACACAAAGTCAGCATGCAGTTACAGCAAGTAATTTGGAAGACCAATGGAATGTTATTACAAGGAAGATGAAGTGTAAACTTAATGAAGTTTTGTTACAGTTGTGTTGCGCATTGATGAGACTTTAAGTAGTGTATTGTGTAGAGTTTGGTCATTTTTCTTGGGTCTGTACTCCAGGGGTAGTTGAATTAGCATTCTTCCAGCTATGAGAATTGATGGGGAACCATCATGGTTACGGAAGGTCTTCATTTGATACACCTCGGCAGGCTCTCAAACTTTAAGCATGAGTAACCATTGTTTATTGAACTAGAGCAAAACTTATTCAGAGAGGTACACAATATTATAGTTGTGATAGAAAAGACTCCCATAGATGTGGAATGATTGAAGTTTATTTTGGATCCGTTTGCCCTGTCCAGTCTATTTACTATAGAGCACCAGAGTACCACCGTTGCTGTGGTCTTCTAAATTTGCATAGATAACAGATTGAAATAAGTAATCCCTGTACCATGTGGTTGTGTACCACATTGTGTAAACAAAACATGTTCATGATGTTTCTTAATAGTAGAATAAAACCTTGACATCTAAAAATCCTGTTTTAAACTAAATACTCAATGTATTAAAAGGCCAGAGACCCAGGAACATCTTGTGTTCATTACTTCTATGGTCTAATGATGACAACTTGTATTTAACGTAAGAGACATCCTAAGGTTCATTCTAAAATAGAATAAGTTCCCAGCCATATAGAGAGAAGTTAGACATAGTACATAACTTTATAAATAAACTATAAACAGTCTTTTATAGGTAAAGAGATAAGTGGATTATCAAATGAAGATGCTCTATTACATAGTTAAATTTGGAATATTATCAAACAGACCTGTTTTCTGTCTTTCCTTCATTTTATTAACTGTTTCTAATCAATATGTTCAGAGATGTTATTACATACCTCTGGGGCATGGGTGGGACTTGACCCCAGTGTCTCGGTTCAGGGGTAGGGACACTATCACTGAGCCAGAAGAGGGCTCCCTTGTGATTCCTATTATGGTTATTACATATTCTTAGCAGCTGTTCTGTTTATTGTTTCATCAAGAGACTACAGGTCTTTCCCGATAATGTTGGTTAAATTTAACAGTACAGTCTCATTTACTTTTTACTTTTTCTCCAATTGGAAGGGACTGTAGGGTTTCTTATAACTGGGCTTCACTTTGATATCTGTGAAATAGGAGCTTGTTTTGCTGAATTATGAATTCTGCATTGTACTCCATAGATTTGACTCATATCAGCCTTTCTCACTGTGGGGTAAGCACGGTGTGTAGATATCTCATGTATGGATACAGTTTGAATTTTTAACACCATAGAAGAAAATTCAGGCAATCTGTAACAAAAATCAAGATTAAACTGAAATTATTCCATGACTTTGGTGAGTTATCTCATAAATATGTTCTGGGTCAGATGTCTAGTCAGTCAGTTCAGGTAAGCTGGAGATGGATATAAGGGGTAGCAGAATCAGCTTCAACTCTTCTGGATTCAGAAGGGAGAAATAGGCTTGGTTTCTTGCTCCTGATTAATATCAAATGACAACTGTTGGGGTATCTGTTGTACAGCTGGGTTGTTGAGTGGAGGTCTGTTCCGAGCTGAAGTGTCAGGGGCATGTCTGCTCCCATTCTGGCTATTTTGCACTAACTTAGTGGTTGATGAGCTGTTAATTGGCTTAAGGCAAGATAACGCCCTGTGTTGAGCTTTATAAATATCATCCCCTGTGATGGGTTGGAGGTGTAGGGGAATTGATAGCTGAAGAAAGATAACATAAGGACATAAGGACATAAAAACTAGGAGCAGGAGTAGGCCATCCGGCCCCTCGAGCCTGCCCCGCCATTTAATGAGATCATGGCTGATCTTTTTGAGACTCAGCTCCACTTACTCGCCCGCACACCATAACCCTTAATTCCTTTTACTGTTCAAAAATTTATCTCGCCTTGCCTTAAAAACATTCAGCGAGGTAGCTTCACCCGCTTCACTGGGCAGGAAATTCCACAGATTCACAACCCTTTGGGTGAAGAAGTTCCTCCTGACCTCAGTCCAACATCTGCTTCCCTTTATTTTGAGGCTATGCCCCCTAGTCCTAGTTTCACCTGCTAGTGGAAATAACCTCCCTGCCTCTACCTTTATCTATTCCCTTCGTAACCTTACATGTTTCTATAAGATCTCCTCATTCTTCTGAATGCCAATGAGTATAATCCCAGCCTACTCAGTCTTTCCTCATAATCCAACTCTCTCAACTCTGGAATCAACCAAGTGAATCTCCTCTGCACCCCCTCCAGTGCTAGTATATCCCTTCTCAAGTAAGGAGACCAAAACTGCACACAGTACTCCAGGTGTGGCCTCACCAGGACCCTATACAGCTGCAGCATAGCCTCCCTGTTTTTAAACTCCATCCCTCTAGCAGTGACAGACTAAATTCCATTTTCCTTTTTAATTACCTGCTGCACCTGCAATCCGACTTTTAGCGATTCATCCACAAGGACACCCAAGTCCCTCTGCACAGCAGCGTGCTGCAATTTTTTACCATTTAAAACATAGTCCATTTTGCTGTTATTCCTACCAAAATGGATGACCTCACACTTATCAACATTGTACTCCATCTGCCAGACCTTTGCCCAATCACTTAGACTATCTATATCCCTCTGCAGACTTTCAGTGTCTTCTGCACACTTTGCTGTACCACTCATCTTAGTGTCATCTGCAAATTTTGACATATCACACTTAGTCCCCAACTCCAAATCATCTATGTAAATTATTATTATTATTATTATAGAATCCCTACAGTGTGGAAACAGGCCATTCGGCCCAACAAGTCCACACCGTCCCTCCGAAGAACATCCCACCCAGACCCATTCCCGTAAATCTCCCATGTCTAACCCACCTAAACTGTAAACAATTGCGGTCCCAACACTGATCCCTGAGGCACACCACTAGCCACTGACCGCCAACCAGAAAAACACCCATTTACCCCTACTCTTTGGTTTCTACTAGTCAACCAATCCTCCATCCATGCCAATACATCACCTGTAATACCGTGCAACTTTATCTTGTGTAGCAGCCTTTGGTGTGGCACCTTGTCAAATGCCTTCTGGAAATCCAGATACACCACATCCACAGGTTCCCCATTGCCAACCATACAAGTAATGTCCTCAAAGAATTCCACCAAATTAGTTAAACATGACCTACGCTTCATGAACCCATGCTGGGTGTTCCCAATGGGACAATTTATAGCCAGATGTCTTGCTATTTCTTCCTTAATGATAGATTCAAGCATTTTCCCACTACCGAAGTTAAGCTAACTGGCCTATAGTTACGTGCTTTTTGTCTACTTCCTTTTTTAAACAGAGGCGTCACATTGGGGTGGTTCCCGCAGATTGGAAAACAGCCAGAGTCCAGTGAATTTTGGTAAATAATTACTAGTGCATTTGCTATTTCCCCCATCACCTCTTTTAGTACCCTGGGATGCATTTCATTAGGGCCAGGAGACTTGTCTACCTTTAGCCCCCATTAGCTTGCCCAGCACTGCCTCCTTAGTGATAATGATAGTTTCTAGCTCTTCACCTGCTATAAGAATTTTGACAGAGCAGAATCTTTAAAATTATGGCAGAATGCGGTAGGATAAATAGAAGCAGACTGTTTATCATTGTTGGGAGACCATTGATGCAGTATTAAATACAATAGCTGTACAGGTTTTGTGATAGGCAAAAACTCTTGGTGTTTAAGAAAGATTGGATTGATGGATCAAGGAACAGGTTTTGAAAGACAACGGGAATGAGGTATGTAGATTTTATCAGAGCAGTATGCAGGGTAAAACATAGGCATGAGCCCGGTTTATCGAGTGGCCTGTTTGAATGCAGTATCCCCAATATTTTTCGGCCTTCAGAATTTAAACAGGGCAGTTCACTCCATGTATGAATGTGTCTGGATTACTGTCAGAGACCTCCATGTCTTATGACTATGTTTTGCACTGTTGTTGTTTGAACCAGCTGATGGTAAAAACATTTAACATAATTAGATTACACAATCTACAGTTGGCAGGTTATGTATAGCCAATGCATTATAACTGCCTATGGTCCAGATTCTTCCATTTAAATTGAGAAAGGTTGTGTGATTTATTGCTTGTTGAAAGAAAGAAGATGAAATAATGTAAAATGATGTGAAGTGACGATTTTAAAAAATTTTGGCGATGTGGAGTATATGGAATCTAAATATTTACAGTAATGTAAACCAGTTGTTGAGGTAATATATAATGTGTTATTGTAATGCCCATATTATTAATCTTGTGTGTTTTGTTGATTGAGTCATATCTGTTTCCTCTCAGGTTGTGATCAAGTGAGAAGAAAATCAGAAAAAAAACTTCATCACACCCTTTTCGATAATTTAGGTAAGAAAAATACAAAGCTTTTTGATGCGTTAGATAATCTAGAGTAAACCTCCTTGCTGAAAACTTGCAGGTTTGACAGTTATTTCTTGTTAGTGGTTCATCTTATTCAACTCTTATTAATTGTAGGCTCAAGATGTTTGCACTGAAGAAGTTGTAATATTGGACCTGCTGTGACAAAGTTGGCGTAGTTTCCAATTATCCACTTGATGTTCAAGTTACTACTGTCAAATGTTGAAAGTAATACACTGGTCTTTTTAACTAAAGATATTAGAGTACATACGTTCTGCCTTTTATCAATTGTTTGATTAAAAAATCAAATATTTATTCAAATGTTGCTATGTGTTAGATTGAAGTGAGGAAGGGTAATCCATACTTGTTGTCAGGATACAAGTCAACACAAAGGAACATTTTTGGCAGATCTTTTTGAAAAGAAAAGTACTTAAAAATCCTAAAGAACCCTTGAAGTTTCTAACAGTAGAATTTTAGGTGCAATTATGAATGAATCAAAATAAGTTTTTAAAAAAATAAAAAGTAGACTCAGCTAAAAATAAAAGTGAGTATAACAAAATTTGATTTACACTGCAGTGTCTCAATTAAACAATTGTGTAATTTTGATTGACTTTTTAAATATGAACCTTGTATTCAGCACAAAACAAATTGTGACATTTATGTCTCCGAGTGTATTTTCAAACATCAACCACTTCGGAATGGGAAGGTATTCTTGCACAAACTTTGCAATAAATGGAACTGAATTAATGTGCAAACTGGGTGCATGGACAAGTTGGGCAGAAGGGCCTGTTTCCATGCTGTAAACCTCTATGGCAGTATAAAAACAGAAAATACTGGAAACAGCAGGTGAGGTAGCCTCTTTTAGATTGATGACCTTTTATCAGAGCCAAAGGATGCTAGAGATTATAATGGGTTTCAAGGCAATCAAAATGGGTATGATGGGAATCAAATGTTTAGAAATGCAAGTTGTTGAGCAGAGATCATATCTGTGGCAACATCCAACGATGTTGCCAAACATATGCTTGTGCAATTTACTGAATCCTAGAGAGCAAAGTGCTTGCCAGCACAACTTGATTCTGACATATGAATTCTAAGTATTGGAGGTGAGATTTGGAGTGACTATGCAGAGGGAGATGTCCCCTTTTAACTGAAGTGCAATGTACCTTAAAAAGGAAAACTGTATTATGCCACCCAATCATCTATTTAAAAGTTAATGTTCTCTGCAAGCTCTTAGTTTCCTTACCCATTCAGGTAATCTGTCTTAGAAAACATATCTGGTCCATAACTTACAATGGTTTGTTGTGATTCTGACCCCAGTAATGAATTTTGGGAAGATTGGTCCATTCAGTTCTCAAAAGAAAGTGTATTTTACAACTTATATTAAAGTAACATTAAGCTTTTCAAAGCTGCATATTTTTCACCATTGAAAAATGGTTTCATATTTTAAAAGACACAATTTATTACACTGAAGGCACTCATGTTCATGTCAGCTTGAATGGACTGGAATTATGTACTATGTCAAGGTATTATATGCTGAATTTTGCGACACTAACAAAAGTTGCACGATCCAAAGATTTGGAAGTTGGATTAGTAGGAAAAAAATGAGAACTAAAGGACAGGTTGAGCCTATTGTTTTTTCCATGTGCGTATCTAGAAGTTCAGAAAATATTTACTCTTTGTAGAGAAATCACAAACATGTTCATTCTTTTCCTGTATTTAGTACATGGAAGACATTTTACTCATTGCCTTGTTGTATATTATTTCCAATTTTTGGGATATTTTGGAATATTCTGTAAAATTGTTATCATCCTTGCCAGACTTGTTAATGGTTTTATTTTGAAAAGAAGCTCTATTTGTGAAGTGTCTTGTGCTACATTAGGGTGTCCCAAGCACCTTTTAGCCAGTTAAGTTCTAATGTTTAACGTGTGGTCATGATTGTCATATCAGGAAATGCAACCACCCATTTATGAACAGCACCAACCACTACCCTTAGCAATGGACAGTAAATAGTCTATGATGCCCAGCTGTCTTGGTAGTATTGACATGCATATACTTGTTAGTGTGGGAAAGCAGTAATTTTCAGATTCAAAGCTGTTTTGACCCTCAAAAGTGCAAATTCAGAAAAATAATTTTGGGAAACAATACATGGGTCTAGAGACATAATGTACCAAATGTTCTGCCCCTAGAACGGCAAGAGTGTTTTTGGGATCTAGGGTTTCAAAGATTGTAGAAATGAACTGCAAGGAACTCAAAGGGAATTGGTCATGCTGAACAATTCTTCTGCCCTTCTGAAAACTTTCTGATCGTGATGGACAGCGGACTCATTTCATACTTCATGTGTTAAGAATCCTTGTTCGTTTCACACACTATCCTGCCTACCTCCTTTGACTTTGATTTGTTTGTTAACTAAATTTTAATTAAATTTTTAATTTTGTAAATCATTTTTTCTGTCCTTTACTTTTTCCTCTTTCTTTTTATTTCTTTTATTGTATCTAATATAATTCACTGTTGTTATGTCCGTTGTTCATTTAATTTATTCTACTATCCTTTTGCTTTATTGTTTAATGAGATAGACCATTAAACATGGTATTGATGAATGGTGCTGCACTGTTTCCACTTCGACATTCCAGAACTTTGTGTCATTGGCTGAGAGAGGTGCTGCTGCAGTATTTTCTGGACTGTGATTTTTAATCGACTTCCATTCATGGGACGGAATTTTTCTTTTCCAAGAATTGGTGAGGAAGGGCATACAACAGAGATACTATACACTACCTTGGAAATTGAGTTCTGAATGGGAAGGCTCACGTCTTCCTAACCCTTCGTCTATTAAGTGGTCAATTGGTGAACAGATGGGATAAGTGGCAAGAAAGAACAAGACTACCTGGCTGGTTAACCAGTGTGGGATGGCTGTCAAATTGGTGGGAGAGGGAGTTCCTCACTCCGCATTAATTGGAGGCTACCCCCTTTCCCCCCCCCCCCCCCCCCCCCCACCCATTCCTGTGAGCCCCAACCCCAGAAAGCACCTTCTATACAACACTTGCCTTTCATTCTTCTGAACCTGCACCTGAGGTTCTGGGCAGTGATGATGTAACCGTGCCTGCAGCTCCAGGCAGATGAGACTTCTTGGCCCGGCTGTGAAGTTCTACTGGAAAGCCTCTCTGGCAGCCAATCATATGCTGAATTGATGCTTGATCCAGTGTGTTTTCTGAACAAAATAGTCTATGAGCTTCTCTCCACAAAACGTCCCGCTTTCAGACTTCGACCGAAAATTGGAAAACCCCTTGGACAGGTGCGGTGTTTAATTGGTTACTGACTTTGGGGTTTGTGATAAATGAATGGTGCCGGGCGTTAATTATATTTAAATTTGCAGACAGTCTTGAATGCTTCTACACTGGAATGTGTCTTGATTGGACTTCCAAAGTAGAACAGCGCCCTCTGCAGGGGATCTGGAACCTGTGACAAAAGACAAGCAACTGGATTTCTCCTAAATCAAAACTGAAGAATAGAGAGAAACACGGGATGGAATCTTTCTAGTCCTGTAGACACGGGTCTGGATGCAGGAGCAAAGTGCAAACACAGCATGTTCAGTCAGTTTCTCAATCCATTCCTACGTCTAGTTTTGTACTTCATGCGTTAAGAATCCTTGTTCATTTTACACACTATCCTGCTTATCTTCTTTGACTTTAATTCTCTTGTTAACTAAATTTTAAATTTTGTGAAACTTTCTTTTTCTGTCCTTTTACTTTTTCTTCTTTTTTTTTGCAAATTTCTTTTACTGTATCTAAAGCAATTCACCGGTACTGGCTACCCAGCCAGGAATGGCAGGGAGCCAATTAGGTTAATTAATTATCCACTTGAATGCAAATTAATGAGGTTGCCTGCATCTTGGCGACATTAGACAGAACCCCAACTGGACAGAGGACTCGTGGATGCCTGGCGATGGCATCCTGGTAGTAAAGTGGGATGCCATTGTTGATGCCTTTAAATCCATCCCCCTCCCCAAAAAGTAAAAACACTTATACTGGAGCTGCAGCAATACTCTGCTAAACTGCTGGGTGAGTGCCTACATTTTACAGTTGTCTTCCACTCCCCTACCTGCATCATCACCTAATGGTTTTAGACTTTCTGACTGTGCCTCCTGTCTGAGGAATCCTCTGTCTGTTGTAACTAAATGGCAACATATTAATTAATTGCCTCCTATAAGATAATAAGAGAGATGTACAATGTTCTGATGGGCATAGATGGGGTAGATAAGGAGAAACCTTTCCTCTCAGTAGAAGGGTCAGTAACCAGGGTGGCATAGTTTCAAAGTAAAGAGCAGGAGGCTGAGAGGGGATTTGAGGCGGCGGGGGGGGGAAAAGAAAGTTCACCCAGAGGGTTGTAGGTACCTGGAACTAACAGCCTAACAGGGTGGTAGAGGCATGAACCCTCGAGACATTTATGAAGTATTCAGATAAATACTTGTAATGCCATAGTACGCAGATTGTGGACCAAGTGCTGGAAAATGGGCTCAGATTAGATGAACATTTGGTGCCTGGCACAGATGTGATGGGATGATGGGCCAAACGGTTTCTTTCCATGCTGTATAAATTCTCTGACTGTTTATTGTACTAAAGGCCCTACCTTAACCGACTGCTCCCGACCCATGAAAACTTGCAAAGAGTATAAGATTCCTTCCAGGCTGTTGAGGTGCAGTGGTAGAATCTCTCCCTCTGGGACAGAATGACCAACACCCAGAGGTGTGTCATAATATGTCCTTACAGGGTGATTAAAAATACTTTCTATAAGATTCCTTCTGTAGAGGTGATGCAAGAAGTGTAATTTAAAATATTGAATTCAATGCTGAATAATGTGCATAAAGAAAGGGATAAAAGAGATGCAGAGAGCAAGTTAAGAGACTTTAATATCTTCAGGATTAATTAAAATTTGAACAAATGAGTCTCCACAATATTGTGCTTAATTTTCAGTTTGATGGTGGATGTTTTGCAGTA